GCATAGCCCAGGAGCACGAGCCCACCGCCACAGTGCACTGATGCCTGAGCACCCCCACAACGGTGCCAGCTTGGCGCAGAGGCTTGGTATCGGCTGTCAGCAGATTGGGCATCAGCAGTGACGGCAGGCAGGTCAGCCTCAGCAAGCGAAAGTCAGGTTTCTGAGTCCATGCGTCACCCCCATCCCTGGATGGAGGATGCTGTAGTGAGCTCCAGGCCTTCCACTGGATCTCCGGGTCTCCCAGCTGCAGGCCCTCTGCCCACCTCCTCATCCGACTGAGTGGCTATTGGAAGCCAAGCCTGTAAATCCCTACCTATTTGTGTATCTTGTGTTATATCAGTTTCTCTAGTAAACACTGACTGATACAGTTCATAACTGGCTGGCCCCAAGGCGGGGTGGCATGGCACAGGGACACAGCAGACACAGGGCATGGCACAGGGAGACAGGGACAGCTGCCCACGGGTTGGGGGACAGGAAGCAGAGTGTGAAGAGAGGATCCTGGAAGGGAGACACATGTTTCCAGTCGCATCCACAGGGACCGCCTCGTCCAACAGCAAGTCCAATCTAAGCCCCGTAACCCATCACCTTCCCAAAGCCTGGCCTTCGAGTGCAGGAGGCTTTGCAGAGACGCCTGATATAAATCGTAGCTGCAGGGACAGCGCCACAAGCCTCACACCACTGGGCTCCAGGAAACCTGAGACAAAGCCTCCGAATTCTCATCAGACCCTCCCGCCTCTGACAAGCAGCGGCCCTCCAGAGTCCACTCAATGGCTTCCTCTTGCTCACCAGGAGCCATCAGTCTGGGGTCAGCAAAGTCACCGACCAGGGTGTTACCTGGTGGACAGGGAGGGACAGAGGCAGGAGGCAGACAAGTGGCTATGGACTGAGCACCAGGAGATGCTCCAGCAAGGAAGACACATCCGGCACAGCAGCCACAATGCAAGTGGCCCCTGGTTAAGCCTCTGGGAATCCACTGCCATTCTCCTGCATCCACCTGTCATCTGCAGGCCTGGAGAGGGGCCAACAGGACAGTGTGTCCACCACCACCTGCTTCCTTCCAGGCCTCAGTGGAGGCACCGACCTCTGCAGTGTTCACAGGAAAGTGACACTGGTGGCTTCCCATTTCCTCCCCTCACCTTTCTGACCATTGCAGCCCATGCTGCAGGTGAGGGGACCAACGTGGACTCTACCGGCACCATAGCATGGATTCACTCAGCCGAGGATGTCTGCTCCAGGGACCCTTTGGACACCGGGAAATAGGCACCACTTGATCTGGGGGCCCTCTGGAGCCCTGGGAGATGGGGTGAGCCAGCGCCCTGTTGACCTGGCTTCCACAGCCCCCCGTCTGCCTGGTGATGCAGGGAGAATCACAAGAAACACAGAATCTCGGCAATGGGGCCTGTGCTTCCTGCAGGTGATCGGGCCTCCTGATCTTCAGGGCTTGAGTCTGGGAACCAGCTCGATCCTGGAGACTGATTGAAGGGCTGTGACTCTGTTTGAGTGATTCAGATTAGGCTAGTGCACTTGACCTGGAGTCCTCCACTTAGGCAGATCAAGCGCGTACTTAGCGGGCTGCCAATCTCCTTCTGCTTCACTGCTCGCACTGTGCTCTCTGCCTGTCAGTCTGAGGTTGCTGGACCTCTGCTGTCCACCACAGCTACCAGGCCCATTTAGGCGCTGGCTGCTCACGGCTGCCCCTTGGCCCCTGCCATACAGAGATCCAAAGACTCTATTGCACTTAGGTTTCTCTGTCAAGAGTCCTGCGGAAGTCCCCACCCCAGAGTCTGCCCCACAAGGCGGGCAGCAAAGCATTTCTTCGGCAGTTCCGCTCCCCTCACAAATCCACTTCTCGGGGCTGTGGCGACAGCTGTGTCCTCTGGACCCTCCCTTGCTGGGAAGGCAGGCCCAGTGTTCAATCCCAGCCTCTAAATCACTTGCTCTGCCCTGAACCAAGCTACTGGTTCAACCCTGAACTGGTTCTGACTCTCCCTGTGGTCTGGGCTTCACCCACCCAACTCAGTAATCAGTGCGGGGGGATCCCACATTACACTGCACCCCAGTATCCCACAGAAGCTGTGACCGTCCACTGTGCTGCACCAACTCGCCTGGCTTTAGAGCCACCCGGTGGATTAGGCGAAGCGCTCCGGCTGGGTCTGAGCGGGCCATGGAGGTGTAACCTGGGCCTATGTGTGGCCGCTGGCACTCTCTTTTCTGGTGCTCTTCCCTTCCTCTTTTCCACAGCTGCCATGAGCTAAGTCAGTTTGCTCTACCAGGCCCCTCTGCCATGATGCCTTGGAGCCGGCTGACCAGGACCGGACTCCCTGAAGCCCTGAGCCAGGTCACACTTCTCCTCTCTGAGGATGTGGGAACTGGCACCCAGCTATGGCGAGGTGATACAGGTGTGCATGTCTCTGACATGACGTAGTGTGGCACGTCATGATATCGCTGTACTCTTCCGTCCGTCTGTGCAGGACTTACACGTCATGCAATGTGAATACGTTGTACAGAGTTGTCACACTGTGCTGCTTAGGGAACAGGGATACAGAGTCTTCCTGTGTTTGGCAGAGATGCAAGTGTTTCGGCCTAACAACACCTTTGGTGGGAGGTTGGTTGGATCTGTAGACGGGTTGCCCGTGGGCCCCCAGGGCTGAGTGCCGGGACTCCAGGAGCTCTGCCTACTGAGCCTAATCAGCACACACAGCCTCACCCAGCTCTGTCTTCCTGTTAGACTGTTACTCACATCCTTGATACCCACTCTGTGTTTTCCCAGGCTTAGAAGACTGCATGTGTGCCTTGTCCTGGGTCATGCTGTGGACTTCACCCTCAGAGGCTGCTGGGTCTCCTTGAGGATATACGGGAAAGGGGTGGACATGGCCTGAGGAGGAACAGCACCAGCTCCCAGGCCACTGCCTCCTTCTCGGCTACCCCTGGCCCAGCCCCTGAGGACAGGGGCTCAGTGAGTGCCTTGCTCGACCCCTTGCAGGATGGGGCTCTGGCTTGGGTTTCTGGCGTCTCCTTTCTTCGGCTGCAGGGATGAGGGCAGACTTGGAGCTCACACATCCTTATGTCCTCAGGCTCAGCCCTGGAGCCTTGGGTCCCACCCTGAGCTCCCCGTATCGCCTCTCTCCTCTGTGCAGCAGCCAGGACAGCAGCCAACCTCAGGGCGCTCAGCAGGCGGTGGGAACATTTTGAGGCCCCACATGAGGACCCCACAGTGATGCATACGCATCTCTGGGCACAGCACTCCACAGCCTCCTCCCTGGAAACAGCCATTAGTGCTTCCAACAAATCAGGCTGGAGGACAATTTGGAAAAACTGAGAGAGGAGAGCAGTTTAGAAAACTAGAAATAAAGAGGAGGGGCTGGGAGAACAGTGGCCGGGCGGCTCTGGGGCTTGTGACAAGGGTCAAGGCTTCCGGGGAAGGAAGAGGCCGGAGTCCAGGTGGACATGGCACTGCAGCCTGGGGACACAGCATCCCCTTCCTCTTACAACTACTTACCCAGCTGACTACGGAGACCCCCGCCCCCCACATGGTTAGGGCAGGCTGCTCTGCTCAGAGCCAGAGGCTCGCCGTGAGCAGTGATACCCAGGGTACCCCCTGGCAACACCTCCGTCAGTGTCTCTCTCTCCGTGTTCTCAGAATAAAGGCCTCTTTTGTTTTATACTTCTCATCTTCTGGATATAATCCTATCAGGGAGACTTCAGGCACTGAACAGGGAGAATCCCAGAAACCTTTGTGGCGTGGCTCTGGCATGATGGGAAGAGATGCGCCTGGGTCCTCACCAGGCCTTGCTATGAGTTGGGGAGCAGGTTCTGTAAGATCTATATACTGCCATCCTGCTTCTGCTCTTTTTTGAGGACTGGTCCTCCTCAGATCCGGCTTTTCACACCCTTGAGTTCCAGGGAATACAATGGGATGTGGGATTTGAAATTATTTTGCGTTCGGTAAAGGCTTTGTGAGTTGATGCTTTTGCTTCTCTCCTGCTGTGTGTGTGTTCGTGTGGGTATGTGCTTCTGTGTGTGTTTGTGGGTTCGTCTTCCTCCCTGTATGAGCTGCTTAATTAGCAATCTCTGTTGGTCCTAAGCTGTGGGCTTTCTAGACCATGCAGTGAGAGTTACTGGGTTTTCTTGTCTGCAGTGGAGAGGAGTCCTTCCAAGTATCCCTCAGCCAGCATCTTGTAACCTGTGGCTTCTCCCCTACTTAACTTCTCCGCCTGCAGGCTGGTGATCAAACTGACCGCTTAAGTACCCTGGGGAGTCGGACCTTTGAAATGCAGAGTTGATGTGTGTTATGGAAGCATCCTAATTTCTTCAGGTAACCTTGGGCAAGTCAATTAACCCCTCGGGCTTGCCTGTCATCTGATCTGGAAGACAGAGGGTCTGTGTGAGGGTGTCAGGGCCTCCCCTGCCTGGAGGCTCCCAGGCTATGTACAGTTAGTTCCCTGTGCAGTACACAGGTTGAAGCCTCCTGGTATAGGGGGTGCACAGGAGAACCGCAAAGTAATCGTTCAAACAGGAACATGCTCTCCTAAGACTGATGCATGTTCTCAGGTAGAGAATAATTACTATCCTCAATGAACAAGAATACCACCCAAATTATATCAAACCCAAGCAAATCCCTTGATTATGAAATACAGAATGTGATTCAGTCCAATCCTAGCTGCAGAGTGCTGTGTTGTTGGGGTGTGGGGGTGACAGCAGAGAGTCTTCATTGTGGACTCGCTGTGTCGTGGAGAGACATATGCGTCCTGGCATCACCTCCAGCCCTCTGAAGGAGCTGTGTGGGGAGATGTTTAATACTGAGCCCTAATAGGATTCTGTGCTCATTATTCAAGAGCAGGCATGGGCTCTGGCCCATGGTAATTATTAAAATCATGTTTATGCCAAGTAATGCAATGAACGTCACCTATTTTTGACTCGCCTGCACACGGAAGGTGGGGGAGGCAATGTTTTACATCATATCAATTGGATTTAGGGAGTGTTTGTGTCCAGCAGGAGCAGGAGGTTTGGCATGGTGATTGGTGGCACAGCCAGTGGACGGTTGACTGATGGGCTGCTGTTGCCTCACAGAGCCAAAGGGACCACCACTCTTTGCCACCCAGCCCAGTCTGGGGTGCAGGGGTGAGGTGGCTGTGGCTTCAGGATGAGATCTGACTCCCTGGCCTGGGCTCGGGTCTGCAGGCTCCTGCTGGCATCGGATCAGTACTGGCAGATATGAGTGGGGCACTGAATTCTCATGGTGCAGGCGCCTGGCCCGGATGGAGGTGGGAGAGTCAGGCTGGGCCGTGGGAGTGCACGAGACCACACAGGACGTGTGTGCCTGCATCCCAGGAAGGGGTAAGAGATTGGGTTCCTGGAGGGGAGGATCCGATGGCTCCCATCTCACCCCATGCCTGGCACCTTCCCTGGGAGTCCCATGGGTGTTACCCTGGAGAGGGGCAGCCACAGCCATCTGCACAGGGGTCCATGGCCATTCTAAACCCTCCCAGCTGATGGTGCTAGGGGCCAATTCTGCTGGCAGCGGGGTCTGCCCCCATCTTGGGTTGCGAGGGGCACCGAGTTCCCCACTGCTTCCACAGCCTGACTGCTCACTGCCCTTTGCCAAGGCAGAGAGGAGGCCTCTCTGCTCCCACGACCTCCATCCTGGAGGCTGCTGAGTGGGCTCCTATGGAATCAGCAGCTGGACAAGCCCTTTCTGGTGGGCCTCCTCCCGCTCCCCCTCTCATGCTCAAAGCACACGCAGTGGCCCTTAGGTGGCCCCGCCTGCAGAGGGCAGGGTTTCTGGGTGCTCAGACAAGAGTCCCAACCACAGCAGGAGGGAGGAAACCAGGGCCTGGAGGACCTGCAGGGGCTTGGTGGGACTCCTCTATACCCCGGGGCTTCACTACGCCAGGATCCGGCCCACACAGAGCGTCCCCAAGCCCTGGGTGGCACTGACACCCTGAACAAGCCGCTCTCATTATTCCAGGCAGCTGTGTACCTGATAAGTGCAAACAGATTTCTCTCAGTAGAAAGGCCGCTCGTCCATGGCTTCAATGCCTGTGTCAAACGCTTCTGTGGGAAGGCTCCCAACGTCATGGCCCACCTGGGGCCGGTAGGCGGCAGAGGCCACCGTGTTCCTTGTCCGCAGCAGAAGTCCAGCGAGGAAGACACAGAGTGGGGAGTTTGCAGTGAGAAAGCCAGGAGGCCAGGGCCGAGCTGGACGGCTGCTGACCGGCTGGGCGGCTTCAGGCGGCTGAGCATCCCATGCACAGCGTGGGCCCTGTCCCCACCACAGGCTCTGCAAGGACTCAGGCTCCAGATCCCATAGGCGGGCGTCACCTTCCCCGAATGGGGGTTGAGGGTGCGTCGACCCCAATGTTCGCTCTTCGGTAGCTTCTCCCCTCCTCAAGGAAACTTTTAATAGGAAAAGAATATAACAAAGCAAAAACTCAGTGCTAACTATAGAAATCAGATAAAAGGCAAGTAATATTGCAGAGCTGGTTCTTAATCAGTAAAAAGTTCAAAAATAGATAAATATTATACATCCCGTCAAAAATTTAAAATTAATTACCATTTTAGTATCATTGAACTTGTCAACGAATTTGATTACTATTCTCAATTATAGATTTTTGCAAATTATCCCCCCTTCCTCAAAGTACAAGTGACATTTCTAATTGCAGATCTAAGAATCTGTCTCCCAAAATAGACGGAGAGGACAAAAATAAGGGTGGCAGATAATGACAATTCATCACACAGCGTCAGGCACATTGTCCAGGGCTGCAGGCACCCAGAGTGGTGCTTAGGGACCTCCCTCAGCTGGCCTCTCGTCCCTGCTCACTGGAGAGGGGCCTGGGGCCAGGCCTGCCTGCCCCAAGCGAGGGCCCTCTGCAGACCATGAGAGCAGAGGGGAAGGCAGAGGGATGGGCTCCCCAGCTTGGCACACACAGAAGCGCTAAGTACCTGCTAAGCCTCTGACTTCAGCCTTGACTGTCAGTCGGAAATGGTGCCTACTCCACCTTGCCCCAGGCAGAACAGAAACCCCTCCTTCTGGGCCATTCCAGAAATGCTCCCTACCCCTTGGGGGACGCCTTGCTGGAGTGCTGACTCTCCCCGTGTGGGCAGGGTTCCCTTCATTCTGCACCAGGAGCTCCATGCCAGGCACCCCCACGCAAGCTCCCATGCAGTGGGTGGTCCTCATAGGCAGGGTGGGCACGAGGAGGAGGATGCCTGAGCCCAAATTCTGGACCCTCCACTGCCCACTCAGTGAACTCTGGCATCCCAGGGGAGGTGGTCCACCTGTGACACGGAGAACTTGATAGGACCCTCCTGCCACTGACAGTGTGGGGGTTACAAAAGAAATGCAGAGTCAGGGACCCCAGCACCATCCTGCGGTGGGGGGCAACTGAGGATGCTTCTTGAATGAGTGGAGGACGTGGACAGTACACAGCTGAGGTGTGAGGACACCCAACTGTCCCCACAGCCTCACGTTTGAGAGTCCGTGGGACTTCCTCAGTCAGAGCTGGCAAGCTACAAGGCAGGCCTGCAGGTCCAGGCTCCGATGCTCCTGCACTGTTGATCCCAGGGCTCCACTGCGCACCTCACCCGCACTGCAAGAAGGTTTTGGGGACAGTTTCTGCTGTGATGGAAAAGGCAGCTGCATCCCCTGGTCCCAGTGGTCAGAAACATGGGACAGACAGTGCTTTTCAGATCTGGACTGGCGTAAGTTCCCTAAACTTAGTTCCTTCTGGCACGGTCACCCTCGTGGGCCAGGGCCTGACCAGCATGCCAACCATCAGGCTGTAGGACAGAGCATGCAGGGGAAAAGGCTATGTAGGACTGTGGAGTACAGCATCATGGGAGGAGGGGTGTGTGGGGCTGTGGGGTAGAGCATCATGGGAGGGGCCTGTGGTGAAGAGCATCATGGGAGGAGGGGTGTGTGGGGCTGTGGGGTAGAGCATCATGGGAGGGGCCTGTGGTGAAGAGCATCATGGGAGGAGGGGTGTGTGGGGCTGTGGGGTAGAGCATCATGGGAAGGGGCTGTGGTGAAGAGCATCATGGGAGGAGGGGTGTGTGGGGCTGTGGGGTAGAGCATCATGGGAGGGGCCTGTGGTGAAGAGCATCATGGGAGGAGGGGTATGTGGGGCTGTGGGATACAGCATCATGGAGGGAGGCCTGTGAAGCAGGGCATCATGAGAGGACGGCTGTTAAAAGCTAAATTTGGGCTTGTATGAAATCTGTGAGGAGCTGAGAATTCAGGAGGCAGCCAGCAAGAGGAGGTAGCAATCCCCCTACCATGGATGGAGTGGCGACCATGGAAGACTGCATGGGCTGGGTCTGCTCTGGGTGGCATTTGCTGGGATCATCTCTAATGTTCATTTAGGTTCTTTGTGTGTAGGCAGCCTAATGTGATGGAGTCCTTAGCAGGGAACTTGCCTGTGTGGAGCCCACCCTGCCTCTGTCCCACATTCATGGCTGCACGCACTGGTGAGGAGCACGTCTCTCTGGACATCAGCTGTCCACACCTGCACAGGGAGGGCTTGATTCAGCTCCAAATCATTTGCGTGAACTTGGTTTCCTAAATTTTCAGCTTTTCCCTTTCCATGTACCCTGAGCCCTGCCCAGGTACCCAGCATGTGCCTGAGTCTTCCTTGGTGCTGTGAGGCGGGGCGGAGGGGCTGTGTGGGCAGAGCCCCCTGGGAACCAGTGGAACCAGCCCAATGGACAGACAGACTCCAGCATGCTCAATGACCAGCGTGCCCAGCAGGATGGAGAGGCAGGTGCTCAGTAGTAGCCCCACCACCTAGTCCTCTCCCAGGGAGGACACGAGCAGCAGGCATGTTGGAGGACAGCTGTGTGGCGAGGGTGAGACAAGGATGGTCCAGGCTGAGACAGGGCCTGGTCACGGATTCTTGCGGTGTGAGCAGCCCACTGTGGGAGTGTTGCCGGGTCCAGGCTGTGGACTTGGCAGAATTTCTGGTTCCAAGGGACCTCGCCACGTTGGTTGCTGGTAGGCATGAGGGAGAGAGATCCCAGCGGGGTTGAGGGGTGTGGGAGGTGAATCCCAAGGTCCTGCTTTCCATGTCTGCACAGGCACTCTGCCCAGGGCACCATATTCCTGTGCCACACTGGGCATCGCCTACCAGTCCTGAGGACCCTGCGGTATCATGGGTCTGGGGGTGGCTGTCCCCATGAGGGCATGGCTCCGTGTGCAGGTCAGTGTGGCCCAGGGGCCCTGGCCTTGCACCTGGGCCCTGGCTGCCAGGGAGGCTCCAACAGGACTCCGAGTCTCAGAGTCACAGAGCAGCGGCCGAGGGCAGCCGCCGCAGTGGACCGGCAGACAGTTCTGACTTTATTACTCAGCCTGGCTCGGCCATTTCATTAAAAATTAGAATTCTTGCTTAATCATTTTTGTGGCTCTGACTCACATCTGATGAGAGATTTTCATGATCACCCATAAATTTGAATGCTTATTTAAGAAAAAAAAACCCGCAGTGGAAATTTATGACAAATTGCGTACATTTTCCAGCCCAGCCTCCTGCTGCCCGCACACGGGAGCCCTGTCCTTAGCAGAGGCTCCGAGGCCACAGGGTGGGTGCGAGCCACCCAGGCCTTCGAAAGAAGCCTCACTTTTGGGGTGCTGCTGTCACTGTGTTTCGGAGCAGAGGACATTGCGTCTCTCCAGGTTCTGGCACCCATACCGTCACCATCTAGGGGGCTGGGTCAAGAAGACCAGCACAGTCTGTGTGGACCGTAGTGACTGGTAGTGACTCAGGGGTAGGGCACAGAGGACCATCCGACCCTGGTCCCTGTGGGCTTCCATGCTGTCATCCTTTGTCCCGGCCTTCATTTGCCAGCCAGAACTGTGCCATGAAGAGTGGGGTGAGCCGGGTCCCCTCCCTCGGTGGCCCCAGCTGCTGGAGGTGTTGGATGTAGCCTGTTGCCCTCAGTGCCATGGAGCCCTTAGCCAGGCTCAGGGACCCCCCTCTGGGTATGGTATGGGGACAGCATTGCGTCCCCCGGGGTGAGGGGTCTGCACCCCGGAACCTGGCTTCAGGTTGCAGGAGCAGCAGACCTTTCTGCTCAGCCGGTGTTTGCCCCTTCACGTGGCAGCGTGGTTTTACTTCTGTTTGCCTGAATCCTTTGTCTGCTCCTCTGGTGTTCATGGGTTATGATGGACAACTTGTCCCATTTTCCCCAGGACTCGGCTTTAAAACCTGAAGTCCCAGGCCAAGCAGAGTGGTCTGCCAGGCTGTCTTGAATACAGACATGAATCAAGAATGTCAGGGTGGGCGTTTTCTGCCATCTCTTGGGGACACCTGTGCTCTTGTCAACCTGCAGGCTGCAGTCTTCAGGGT